AACGGATACCTCCTTCTTTTACCATCTGTCGAAAGCCACCAAATATGTTCATTTTGTCTGATTTTGAACCATGAACCTAAAAATAAAAGCAAAATGATATAAAATACTGGTAGCATATTATTGTTGCTATTTCTAAAGTAACCAATCTCTTTTCAGTACTGTTTATAACTGCAAGAAGATATATTTAAAAATAAAATATAGAAGGTTGAGAAAATATATAATGCTGGGAGGGAGTATCACCATCATGTCAGAATCTAAATCTGAATCTAAAACTAAGAATAATTGGTATCTAAGGGTAGGAAAGCACATAGAGAGGACATAAGAAAATTAAAATTATCATGAACAATATTTAAAGATAACATGAACCAAATTATGTATTAGGCTATGGAACACCCTTTGAAACATGAACAAGTTCAGTTTAAGAGAAATAAAAAAGAAGTACACTGCAAGTAATACATTACTGCCTCCTTTCAAGAAGTAGTACATGAACTATAAATGGGTCTGAAAATGGTTTGGATATTGTGTATATCTCAGAACCATAGACACCGGAATGCACACAGCCTGAAACCAAAAATGAAAATTGTAACTCTGTGGCATATCTCGAGGCTCCTCTGGGCAATAAATTCATGACAACATGTACCAACCGTCTAATCCAGTGAGTACTAATGAATTACTCAGCTTATACTACAGATGCGGTAGTCATTTAAATACACTAGACATTATGATTGCCTACTATAAAAACTGATTAAATCTAATAAACCAAAAATAATTACAGAAACCGGCTATTCTACTGAGTGTTGCAGCTTACATAAAATGACTGACTACCACCAAAAAACAAAACAAAACAAAACAAGCCCACATACCCAAGATGGGAGGGGTTGCAGATTGAGGGTCAGCCATGTGGTCAGTGTGTGATCGAGCCCCAGTAAGAACTCTGGACGCCAAAGGCTGGGGTGAACTTCCCTGGTTCGTTTTCAATATTCCGTACATATTGCCACACACCAGTGCCAGCAAAGCAACACATGAAGACTCCACAGAGAGAGGACAACAGCAGCTCTGCCTTCGGTGCTTCCCCAGACTCAGCCCTATCCGTATTTTTACTTGACTGATTTTAACCTGTAACTTTTCCCCGTAATAAACCATTACTGTGAGTACAACAGCTTTCAGTGAGTTCTGTCAGTCCCTCTAGTGAATCTGAAGTTGACCTTAGGAACCCCTAAATTTGCAGAAACTGAATCCCAGAAAACTCTACTTTAAGTAAATAAACTTCACAATAAAATATGACAAAGTAAAA